AAGGGGACCGTTAGAGATGCCGATGGCCTTCACAGAGGCCGGGAGGCCAGCTTCCGGTCTAGCTTTTGGGCAAGTCACATGGCTTCGTTCAGCCTCAGTTTCCTCATCTTTCAATTGGAGTCATCTACCCAGCCTGCCGGCCATTGGCTGTGCTGCACGTGGTGGGTGTTCAGTGGACTTGACATCGTCATGATCATGGCGCTGTCCAATTAGGCCTCGGCTTGCTTTATCCCCAGGCCCCCTTCCCTGCTTCCTCGGGCCCCATGCTGAACTAGGGCTCAGGTCTGCCTTGGGGAGCGCCAGGTCAGGGGTCGGGTGTGTTGATCCAAGCCTGTCTTGACGGGCCCCGGCAGTTGCCTAAGACAGAAAACCTCAGCTCAGAGTGGTTTAAACAAACACCAACATGCCTCCGCTCGGGTAACTGGAAAAGCCAGGGGTACCAGCCCTAGGCAAGGCTGGATCCAGACTCAGAGGCTCACATCAAGAAACGGGTTCTTGTGTCTCAGCTCTTATCTGCTGCATTTCCTTCCTGGGCTCTCCCTCAAGACCCCCACCCCCACCCCCCAGCTCCACATTGGCCTCTGACCAGTTTAGCAGCCCCTGTGGGTAGTGAGAACTTCTTTCCCCGTGATTCCAGCCAAAGTGGTTGTCTTGGGCACATGTCTATCTTTGAACTAATCATGGTGCCCAGGGATATAAATCTCTCTGGCCACCTGGGCTTGGGTTGCATGGCTTTCTGCACAAAGCAGAGGAAAGGAAACATGTCCCACATAGCCCCAGCCCAGAGCACTCTGTCGGCTGTGCTCCACCACCCAGGGCATGATCATGGTCTTACATTCCAGCCTTGCTTTGTACACGCTGCTTTCTTTATTTGTGATGTGCTTCCTAGTGAACTCCTATTGATCCCTTAGAACCCTATCCAAATATCACCTACTTTGAGAAGCTTCCCTCCACCTATCCAGCATCTGGTGCTATACGTCACACTTTCCGCACTTGGCTTATCTCATGTCACAATTGCACAGGCTGCAGGCAAAGGATACCAAAGCTTGGGGACAGAGTTAGAGAATTGTTCCTCTGCTAGAGACTCCATTGCCCTGCTCTGTGCTTCCCTGATTCGTGGTCTGCTTCTCCCTCCTGGGCTCCGAATGCTGAACGAGTCCCTGGGCACAGAGCGAGTGCTCAGGACAGCTCAATGGGAAAGATGACCACTGATGGAGCAGGCCCAGAGGAGCACAGAACTGWCCAGAGAGGGAGGAGGCCACAGAGGGAGCATCGGGCAGCCCAGACTGTTTGCACGTGGGCCAGCTCCTTGGTCTGTCGCCTGCTCATGGCCTGGGAGTGTGAGCGTGCACACGTGTGTACCTATGACACAGGACACCGTGGCCATCTTGATCTTAGACAGCTTGCTCCTCTTCCCATTCCCAAGACTGCCTCCTTGGGTCTGCCATGATTCAAGGCCTGTACAGGCCATGGGTTGGACCAAGGAGGGGCCCCAGCAGCACAAGGGTTTGGAATTGGAAGAAAGTCCTCCTGGGGATGTGCAGGCATTGGTCTGGAGTTGGCTGAGGTCTGGCCTGAAGCAGGGGCTGAGGTTCACTCAGAGATGTCTTTCCTGATGTGGTCCCTATGGCACGGATTTCTGCTCCTGTCCCCAGCGTGCACGCAGAACCCTGGGTGGTACCATGCATTGAAGAGAGAGAACCAGTGGTCCTGAAGGGCAGGCCATGCCCAGGTGCAAGGTCCCACCTCACAGGCCCACATCCTCTAGAACCAAATCCCGTCTTGCTTTACTCACGCCAAGGAGAGGATTTGGTTCTGCCTCTGCTGGGTGGGCTGTGGTCCAGGCCCGGCCTTCTGGGCCCAGCATTTTTACCAGCACTGCTTGTTCTACACACTTTTAATCAGACTGCTATCTGGGCCTGACTTGTCTCCCCACCACGGTCCCCAAACATCCTTCCTAGCCACACCGAGAGAAAAGAGTCCTGCCTGGCGGTTCTCTGCCGGACAAGGGCACCATCTTGGAAGTGAAGTCAACTCCGTAGACCCCTGCTTGCCTGTTTCTGCTGTGCGGCATGGGGACGTGACTCTGTCTCTGGACGCCAGGTCCTCCTGGTGATGTGCAGGCGTTGGTCTGGAGTCGGACACACCACTGGAGCTCCCTCCCTGGGGGTGCTGTGGCCACATGAGGCACGATCCTGCAGGGTGTCCCAGGCACTCCACTAAGGCCAGGCCTGGGAGAGGACAGTGCCCTGGCAGACCCTGGATCCCTGTTTCCTCGGCAAAGATGGAAAAGGGGAGGCAGAGACCCCCTTCCCCCCAATGGTGGCCACTGCTCTGTGGAGACAGAAATCCTAGTTCCTCCGTGTGGGGACACAGGTGCCACCTGCCACTTCTGGACCCAGCTGCTGTCCACATGGACAGTGGTGTGCATATTATATCACTCCTTCCTCCTGCTTGGGGGAAGCTCCAGTGGCCAGTGGGATCTGGGTCACTGGGCTGCCATGTGGCCTCAACATGTTGCTCAAAAGCCCCATGCGGTCACCGGGTGTCTCAGGGCCTCCACTGTGCTTGGCACACTCCACAGTCCAGCCTCTGTACCAGGGAGCCCAGCATTCCTGGGTTTGGGATCCAGACAAGCCACCTAGGACCACTGGCCCCAGTACCCACAGGCCACCGTGTCCTCAAAGCCCAGGTGGCCTCCTGCAGGCTCTGGAAAACTGCCCTGCCTGAGAAGGACCAAGGAATCTGAGGACAGGGGACTCCCCAGCTGTCCTCCCAGCTAGTGGACACCTGCCTTTTATCACACCACACCCAACCTTTCAGAACTTGTTTCCTTCTGCCCTGGGCCTGGCCCTAGAAGCCACATGGGTGATGTTCTCCAACTGATTTCTTCACAAAACGCCTGTGGCAGGAATGTGAGAGTCCATCCTGCCACTGTCACCTGCCAGAGCCAACAGTGGGTCTGCCATTGGCCAGAGTGTATCATCTTCTTCTCCTGGGGACACCTAGCAACCCCTGCCAGAATAAAGCCGTCTCTCAAGCCCATACCATTTTGGTCACAGGTCCCTTGCCGCTTCTAGAGGTGGCCTTTGAGAAAGAACATCTAGTGGCGGGGGCTTCTGGTATGTTCCATGGGCTGCTTCTGCCAGGCTCAGTCTCTGCCCGACACACAGGCATGTGCTTCCCACTGACTCTAGACACAGCCTGCTCCTGGGCAGAACCCAGGGACCCTGGGTGACAGACCCACCACGCTAAGGCTGTAAGAATGCTCCTTGGCTGGCAAAGAGGTGACGGGCACTCATGCCCGGGGCAGGGGCTTCCAGGATAGCCACAGGCTGCAGCAGGCATTTGAGGGCAGGGATTGATGTGGGAGAAACACGATCATGTTGGACCGATTTTTTGGATCTGCACGTCCAGTGCAATCCCGTTTGCAAAAGCTGGGAAAGAATGTAGCGGAACGCTTACCTCCAGGCCCTGCAGAGCAGCCTCCAAAGTGGGAACTTGGTGAGCCCAGATGTGCAGACATCTGGATGTCACCTGTTTGGGTCCTGGCTTATACAGATGTCAGCCCAGTTTTTATGCACTATTATCAAACATAATCAGTAATTATCTGTGGTTTGCTCAGCCGACAGACGGGTCATTCCTTCCCTGAAGTAACCAGTTCTAACCGTGACTTTCACACGTGCAGGACTGATCCAGGGTGGAGATGTGGCGGGCTCCCAGGAGCTTCTGGGTTTCTCCTCTGAATGTGATTCTAATACCAAAACAGCTCTCATTTAGGGACCCCCTGCTGGGTTTCAGGCACAGTGTTTTCTTTTTTTGGCGGGGGGAGGGGGTCTTTCATTCTCATGGCAACTCTATGAAATAGTCACATCATCATCCCCATTTTACAGATGAGGAAACTAGAGCTCAGAGAGATCAGGGTACTTGCTCAGCATGATCCAGCTGGGATCCTAACCCAGGTTTGTCTGAGTCTCGCCACCTACTCGTCTTTCCACTATGTAAATCACAGAGACTCCCAATTTTCTGAAAAATCAAAGAGGAGCCCTTGGTAAATGCAGTTTCCATTGACTTCACTGTGATCCTGCAGCCACGTGCCCATTAATTCTGATTCGTCTTTAAGGTGTGAGTTCTGCAGTAGATAACCTGGAAGTACTCCTTAGCTTCTTGGAGCCCCCGGGCTAGCAGACTTGGGGGTAAAGAGTCCTGTCATCACGTTGAGTGGAACAGATGTCACCTGAAGAACAGAGTAGGGGACACAGGGACTGGCCAGAGCCAGCTCCTGCTATAGGATCCAAGCCAGGTGCCTCCTTGACTATTGGTGGACATTCGAGGCAGGGACTCTGTGAGCGTGAGACCTGTTTCCAAGGAGGCAGAGCTAGAACACTGTTCCAAACCTTCCTCATCGTACCAGCTTCAAAACTCATCTTGATTCCTGATCTTTTYTCTCCCTGCTCATCCTGTGGCAGAGTGTGTCCCTTGAGGCTGTCCAGCTGGACCCAAAGCTCTGCACTTGCAGGACATCACCAATCCCCTCCCTCTTTCTAACATTCTACTAAGAACATGGGGCCCTTGCACTTTATGCCTGGCATTAGTGTTTCATGTTCTGTGTTCCAAACATGATGTGCACGTGCATGCATGTGCGCTGCCCTGGACAGGCACCCGAGAGGCAGAGATACAGCTTGGAAGTGCGTGGCCAGCAGAGCGCATGCTCGGCAAACCCAGCTGAGCATGCAGAGAGATGCCCTTCGCCCACACGGGATGGGTGGGTGGCCGCACCAGCATGCAGCTTGAGGTCTGCATTCACTGGCTGCTGACTGGTTAAGTGTTCCAACTCTTATTTGGAGGAAACCAGAGGATGTCAGCGTATAAAATTAAAAGTGTAGTTTTTTCTGGAAAGTCTTCCTTTGAGAATCAAAGACTGCTCGGGTTGCGTTTGGGTTCTGGGCAGGGTTCCCTGTGCATCCTCTTGCTGAGAACCTTGTTCTTTGTGTCCACAGGCCTCCCACCCTGAGCGGCAGTCCTGTCATCTCTGACATTTCCTTGATCCGGCTTTCCCCGCACCCTGCTGGCCCTGGGGAGTCCCCCTTCAATGCCCCGCACCCCTACGTGAACCCCCACATGGAGCACTACCTCCGGTCTGTGCACAGTAGCCCCACCCTCTCCATGATCTCTGCAGCCAGGGGCCTGAGCCCTGCGGATGGTGAGTAGGAGCTGGGGGCCGGGAGGAGCAGCTGTGGCATCGGGGCATGATATGGTGGGTACCCGGTGGCTCTGTCAATGCAGCCATCACTTATGTTGGGTTCTCCAGCCTCAGTCCCCTGGGACAGTGACCAGCTCAACTTTCTCCCCACTACCTCTGAACATGGATGGTTTAAGTAAATAAGCCTGGAGATTTGGGGGTCCATTGTTTTTCATGCTCATTAAAGAGTCCCCTGTGTGCAGCCCCTGTGTGCTGAACCTTGACAATATTTAGGTCCTGTCCTAGGTGAGGCCCCCGCTGCAGAAACTGGTAGGAAGCAAAGCGGGCTGTGGAAGGGGTGTCTCTTGGAACCCCAGAGAGAGCAGAAGGGAGGCAGAGCGGGGCTGGCAGCTGCCGGCATCTCTGTTTCCTGTGCCCTTTGCAAGTCAACACAGGAGGCCTGCAAATGGTAGCCCGGCCCCGACACTCTGTCAATGAACCTGTGACTTTGCATTGGTCAGTTCAGATGCTTGAGAAAGAGGATAGATTGGTCCAGGTCAGAGATCAGATGGCCACTCCCAAATGATCAGGGTCATAGGTACAAATATGTCTTTCAGACCTAAAATTGTGTACTTCTTGTCCCCGCCGCCACCCCATTGCTACATAAGTGCAAACGCACATGCACCAATGTGCATGCAAATACACACACACACACACACACACACACACACACACACACAGGACAGCAGAAAGTACCTATGGAGCTGGCCCTGCTCATGCAGCATGCAGTGTTCCTAAGAAATGCACTGACCCCCTAGCATGGTGTGGGCGCTACCCACTGGCTCTCACTACTCTGAAAGTGCTTCACTAGCTTCTCGTGGTCCCCATCCTTGAAAGCAACCAAGCTGCATCTTCTCAAAATATGTCCAGCTGAGACATCACTTCTGAGGCCAGAGTCACTTCCAAGCCAAAGGACATTTGCAGTATACACTTGTAAGCCTTGTGGGCAAAGGATCTGGGAAACATGGTCCCAGGGGTTGCACCATCGTTACCTTCACTCTCCCCTGGAGGAATATGTCCCCCCACCACCACCTCTGGGTGTGACCTGGAGTTAAGCCCTGGCTCTGAGAAGATGCTGGAATCTCACGGTGAAAATGAGGCTTCCGTCCTGACTCTGCAGGCTGATCTTCCAGGAGGAAGGAAGTCTGTGCTTTGCCTGTCCTTCCCCAAGGACAAACCACACGAGGTGAATGAGTGCAGCCACTGGACCTGGAGATGGCCATCCAGAATGTGGCATCTCTGGGGTGGCCCCTCAGGGTCAAAGCCCAGCCTTCAGCTCTGCCTGGGTCCTCTGTGTGGCCTTGGGGAGCCGGGGTCTTTGGAGATTGTGCTGTCTCCACCCCCGTTTGCTGTCTTGTGGGGCAGTGGACCCATTGCTCCTGATGAGCCCACGGGTGGTGGCCTGGTGGGACCGTGAGGAAGCAGACCAGGTTCCAGATGCCACCTTTGTGTTGAAACTCCCGTGTAGCACGGTGGGCTGAATGGAGCCCTCCAAAGATATATCCAAATCTGCATCCCTGAACCTGTGAGTGTCACCTCACTCAGAAAAGGGGCTTTGTGCATGTCAGTAAGTGACAATCTCAAGCTGCATAGATCATCCTGGATTACCTACATGGACCCCCCAAACCAGTGACAAGTGTCCTTATACGAGACACCCAGGGGAGACAGTGATGTGAATACAGAGGCAGAGATGGGACAGATGTGGCCAGAAGCCCAGGAAGCCACCACCAGTCACCAGAAGCAAGGGATAGATTTTCCCCCAAGTGCTTCTGGAAGGAACCTGCCTTTGTTCACCTAGATTTCAGACTTTCGTCCTCCAGAGCTGTAAGAGGAAAAAATCATGTTGTTTTAACCACAACTAGCACCAAGTTTGTGCCTATTTGTTATAGCAACCTCAAGATACTAATACTCACCATAAAAGGTTCCTAGGAAGAGGCAGAAGCCATCAGCTCTGTAGGGGCCTCAGTGGGAGGCAGAAAGGACAGATTGCCCTGGAATGCTCAGGGGCCATGGGGCAGTCAGCCTAGCAGGAGGCCAGGACTCTCTGGAGGAGACAGGAGGATGGCGACTACCACGGGCTGCTTTCATCTCTTCGTTACAGACCTACGAGATGTCGTGGGGGTCCTGGCCAAGACTAGTAGTAGGCTGTGAAGCACAGTGGTTAGGATCTTGAGCTTTAGATTCCAACCAAGAGTCCCATCCCAGCTCTGTCACCTCCCTGCCATGTGACCTTGCACACTGTTGAGCTGCTCAGGGGTCAGAGTCTTTGTCTGCTCAGTGGGGACGACAGAGCCCTCCTGGAYCCTGATGTTGAGATTGAAGAATGCCTGTGAGCCCTCAGAACCGGGCCCACCGCAGACCCAGCAGGTGTTCGGCAAGCTGTCACTGACATCATCCCCAGCAGTGTCAGTGGGGGGCCTTCTCACCCCCATGTCACTGATGAAAAACGGAGCCAGCTCAGAGCTGGTGCCTTGGGTTTTGCACATTGAGGAAAATCAGAACCCTTGACTGTTCTTGGTGTCCAGCTCTAGGTTGTTCCCTGCTGGGGCCACCCGCAATGTGCCACCCCCCACCCAGTGCCAGGCCCCCACAATCTGCATCCCATCCTCCCTGCCTGATTCCTCAGCCTGGGCACAGCTGACTGCAGGGGGAGCAGTTAGCCCTGAGGCGGGCTCTGGGGACAGAGAGCTGGTGGGCATTGGCAGGCGGAGAGCCTGTGCTATCCCGCTGGTGACTCTTGGTGGCGCCCTGAGTGTTCTGGCAGGTGGGCGGGTGAAGGCTGGGCCAGCACCCGACTCTGACGGCACCTCTCTCTCCCTCGCTCCCACAGTAGCCCACGAGCACCTTAAGGAGAGGGGGCTGTTTGGCCTCCCTGCCCCGGGCACCAACCCCTCCGACTATTACCACCAGATGACCCTCATGGCGGGCCACCCTGCACCCTACGGGGACCTGCTGATGCAGAGCGGCAGTGCCACCAGCGCGCCCCATCTCCACGACTACCTCAATCCAGTGGACGGTGAGTGCCCGTGGGGTGGACCACGGCGGGTGGGGCGGAGCAGCCAAGGCAGGAACCGGGCGGGGGGGGGCTGACGGGGTCCTCTTGACACTGCAGAGGGCAGTCCCCTGCCACACTTGCAGTTCACGGGGACACTGAGTGGCCAAGGTCGGGAATGGTGTCAGGCATGGTGGACATCACAACAGACGAGCCACATAACACTCTGCTATTGAGGAACCCGCAGAGTCACGGGAGAAACAGACCCTGCCCGCTCCTAGGAATCAGTGTGCTGAAATGGCCAGTTAGAAATGAAACAGAGGCACAAAGTAGGGAACAGGGACAGGAGTGCTGGGATGAAGTGAGGGTGCCATTTCAAAAAAGAAAGCCTGAGAAATGCCTGCTAGGAAGCACAGAATCGGAAGAGATGAGCTGTGTGCAACTCTTGGAAAAGAGCAATCCAGGCAGAAGATCAGCATGTGCAAAGGGCCYGGGGCAGCAATGTGCCTGCTGAGCTCCAAAAACAGCCAAGAGGTCATGGGTTCATTATAGTTGGTGGGAAGCCAGGGAGGGGCAGGAATGGAGATGAGGCCGGTGTTCTGGGGTGGGTTGTGTTGCCTAGTGAGGATTTGGTGACGACTTTGGCTTTCACTAGAGTAAGATGGGACCCTGAGAGTAGGCAGAGGCTGCCCAGAGGAGTCAAGAGAGGTCTGAGAATTGGTTTGGGGCAAGGCAGGAGCAGGGRTCCCATTAACAGAGCTGTGAAAGCCGTTGTTCCCATAGATTATGAATGCCGACACAGGTTTGCTCCAGATCAATTGTGTTGAAGAGAGAAGGGAGTGGAGATCAACTCAGGGGCTTGGGCCTGAGTGACTGAAGGATGGAGTTGTCAGTCATTGAGACCCACGGCTGCTGCAGGGCCTGTTTGGCAGGGAGGGAGGCAGGGGTCCTGCATAGATGAGGTTTCGGTGCCTGTCTGGCTTATCGGGTGCCATGAGCCTCTGCTAGGAAGAAAGGAAGGTCCAAGGGCTCGGTGCCCACCCCTCCTCTGTCAGACTCACTCCACCTGCTGCTCCTGGAGCCTGCCCAGAGCTACCAGGCCAGGCAGAGGAGCAGGAAGTCACAGCTGGGGCCAGGCYGCTGGCTCCTGCAGGTTGGTCTCCTCAAGCCCTCSCAGGGTGGCTTTTTCTCTCCCTAAYRGCCCATAATAGGGGGAGACAGAGGCCTGCGGGAGACGGCCCATCCTTGAGAGCAGCTCTGGGGCCTTCAGGGCCATGTGACTGCGTCCAGTTGGGAGTGGGCCGCTGGGCACTGTGGGGCCAGGGAGGTCTGCAGGACTTGGGTGGTCCCTTGCCCAGGTGCAGGATTGAGCTCTCCCGGAGACGCGGTTCCTGAGCTTGGATCTCACCTCCAGTCTTTCTGGAGATGATATGGTGGGGTCATGAGCCACCCTGAGTGTCTCCTGAGCCCCCAGCAAAAGTTTTGCTGGGGAGGAGCACCACAGTCCTACCATGGATGTGGTCCCAGGCCATCCTCCCCATGCCCTGCGGAGAGAGGCCACAGCATGCCCCAGGGATGCCACCTGCATTTGGTCCCTTCCCTCTGTGCCTTCCCCAGGGTGGGTGCCATCTAGGACCAGGCACATAGCATAGGGTGGGAACGTCCGCAGCTCTCTAAGATCACGAGGMCCCCCTGGGCACACACATGTCATCTGTATGTTGCCTTCTCCTAACCAGCCCTCCAGGTGCAGCGGGTGAGGGTCTGGGGGATCGTGTGCAGCTCATGCTGCCCACCCCGAACAGAAACCAAACCACAGCAACGCTGTGCGCAAAGGTAGCCAATGCTGGTGCCCCCAAAAACCAGATCCCCTCGCAGAGGACTAGGGTGTCGCTTTGCCAGCTGAAAAGGGGACGGGGCAAAGATAACATGGTTGAGAAGGGTCAAGTCAAGCAGGTATTTCCCCAAAAAGCAGCAAAGGCCAAAATGGGTAGCCAGGCTTGTCTGCCCGTTTCAGCCACCTGAGCACCTGCTTCATGCGTGCCGTGTGCAAAGGAGAAGAGTGAGAACCAAGAGTAAGAACTGTACTTTGTTTTCATGTATTTTCTCCTGGGTAGCTCCCTTAACCACCTTCTGAGGCTGGAATTAGGCTCCCTACTATACCACAGGCAATCRGGGTCCTAACATCAGGTGACATGTCCCCAGCTTCCAGCTGGAATTCCCAGCCCTGCTGTTGACAGAATCATCTGGTCTTCCTTGGGACACAGCATAGAACCAGCCCCCGAGTCCTGGCCTCAGGGAGGTCCTCTGGGCTCACTGTGCGGGGGCTCAGCCTAGAGGCGCAGGACAGTCTGGGCCGAGGCGGAGGACACCTGCTGCAGCAAGCCGCAGGCCTGACTTGCTGAGGAAGGCAGCGAGGGGGTCTGGGCCAGTGCTCGCCACCTGGTCATCACTAACTTAGCGAGGTGGTGGTGGGCCACACAGGGTCAGGGTGGTGTGACACCAGGACCCTGAGTGACAGGTATATGTGCACATAGCCTGGTGCCCGGCACACAGTAGGTGCTCATTTAATGCTAGTTGTGGTCTCTTTCCACCAGYACCCTTTTCTCTTTCAAATCCACCCCCTTTTGCAGAATTCTGTAGTCATTACAGCACCTCTGTCCCCCTCTGGTGCATAAGCCCAGGCCGCAGGCCGTCCAGATAGCTTTTCCTCACCATCTCCCTGTCCATCCTGGCCCCCAGGTGTGCCAAGTGCAGCTCGTCTCCTCTCCCCAGGCAGCCAGTCACCCGTTACCCTCCTAGCACAGCTTCTCGATGACTCGGACCATCTGGCACAACTTCCCTGTGTCTTGTCCTGGCTCCCCAGCACCTCCCCACTGTGGCCCTACTGCTTTGCAGACTGGGAGTGTCCTAGGGCTTCTCTCAACTTCTCTCCCTTTAATCCATCCCAACCCTCTTGGGCCACCAGCTCTACTGCGGCGGAGGGACCCAAGGCACCCCAAAGGCACCTGGCCTAGCAAAACAGCAAGCCCCAGCAGGTCAGGGGTGGGGGGACGCTGGACAGGGAGCAGACCCTCTGTGTGTCCGATGAGGGAGGAAGGGAGTGGCCKTTACCAAAGAGCCTGGAAGAGAGAGATGCAGGCTAATTAGGGCAGAAACGGCTCCGGTGGGAGGGCAGCTGCGGGCTGGCAGGCAGCCCGGAGGGGGCTGGGGAGCAACTCTGTCCTCCAGGGAGCCTGGCGTGCGGCAGCATCTGGGGGCTGAGCATCTCTGAGAAACAGGAAGGCCAAGGCCAGAGGAGTGCGGAGGTGAGCTCATGGGTGGGCGGAAGAGCGCAGAGCTCCAGGCTGACGTCAGGGGCYGCAGGACAGCCACACGCCCCCGTGCTCCTTCCTCCCCTCCACATCCGCCTTGGGAACTTGATGAGCTTGAAGACGCAGCGGGAGGCACCTCCAGATTCCAGAGTCAGCCTGAGCAGGGCGTCCCTGGCTCTGGCTCAGGCACGGGGAGGGCGGGGCGAGGGATTGAGCTCATAACTGTGGATTTCAGGAACAGGTGACTCTTTCCTGTAATTCCCAACCCATTAAAACTCCAGGAAATCAAAGCAGCCTGGGATTAATTATCTCCTCTGTTTTTCACTACTTAATGCACTTTTTTCCCCCCAAACTAGCTCGATCGCTCTCATGTTCTCTCTCTCTCTCTCTCTCTCTCTCTCTCTCTCTCTCTCTCTCTCAATATGTGTGTGTGTGTGTGCTGGGATTGGACCCAGGGTTTTGAACTCACTGAGTTCTAGCACTAAGCTATACCCCAACCCTTTCTTTTTTCTTTTAATATTTTTTAGTTTTCAATGGACCTTTATTTTATTTATTTACATGTGGTGCTGAGAATCGAACCCAGTGCCTCACACGTGCTAGGCAAGTGCTCTCCCATTGAGCCACCAACCCTACCCCAGCCCTTTCAAGCCAGCTTAAGCCAGAGCTACAGTTTTCGCTTCCACCTTTTCAAATGTCTTAGGCTTTCTGCTCAGCCCCAAGGTCTGTGTGGAAGTGTCACTGGGGTGCATGTCTGTAAGATGCTGCAAACAATGCCGATGCCCACAGCCCAGAGCCCTGATCTGCCTCTGAAGTGTCCCCCAGCCCCCTCCCCTTCCATGATCCATGGGAGCCAGGGTGGGCCCTGCCTGCTTTTGGATTTTCAGTGGGTCCCAGGCATCCAGGTCTGGGAAGGRTCATGTGTCAACCATAGCACCATTTTTATCTTAACCAAGAGTTGTCTGCATGGTTGCATATTTAATGTTTTCAATAAATTCACCTTTGGGGGTTCAATAAATAGATCTTAAAAATGGAACTTCAAGCTGGGCATGATGACCCATGCCTGTAATCCCACTGACTTGGGAAGCAGAGGCAGGAGGATGGCAAGTGTGAGGCCATCCTGGGCAACTTAGATCCTGTCTCAGAATAAAATTAAAAAATAAAAAAGGCTTGGGGGTGTAGCTCCGTGGTACATCATCCCGAGGTTCAATCCCCAGGACCATGTAAAAACAAAAAGGTAAAAACATCATATTTCCTGAAACAGGAGCCTTGATCATGTTCTAGGGGGAGGTCCCTGTCTCCATCTCCACTGGACCTACAATAATGTCACTTAGGTTGTRCAAGTGCCCGTGGTCAGGGAAGGCTGCGGGCAGTGAGGCCTCTCTGAGGGCATCCCGTGGGATTCAGACTCCACGCCCCACCCTCCGCCCAGGACAGGGGCCAGGCCAAGGGCACTTCCTGGGCCGAGGTGCAGGCGCAGGACCCCAGCCCCTGGTGGGGGGAGGAAGGCCCATTGCCTCTCTTCTCCAGGGGCCTGATTTACAGCAGGAGGACCAAAGCCATGCCACTCGGGAGGGAACAGGGAACCAGAGAGGGAAGCCAAGGTTGTCCTGGTGTGGAGTGGCTCTCTGGAGAGTGGGGAATGCACCGGTTGTCACCTGGGCCCTAAGATGGAGTTTTCTCAGTCACGCTGTTGAATGTGGGTGATTTAACAAC